CAATTCTCTTCTCTTTCTTATTCTTTTTTTAAAAAAATACTTTATTTATTTAATTTTTTAATCCTCAACCCAGGATATTTTTCCATTGATTTTTTTTTTTTTTGTGGGGGAGAGTGGATGGGAGGAGGGAGAGGGGAGAGAAGGGGGGAGAGAGAGAGAGAGAGAGAGAGAGAGAGAGAGAGAGAGAGAGAGAAATATCGATGTGAGAGAGACACACTGATTGGTTGCCTCCCATATGCGCTCAGACTGGGGCCGGGGATCGAGCCTGCAACCGAGGTACATGCCCTTGACCAGAATCCAACCAGGACCCTTCGGTCCACAGGCCGGCACTCTAACCACTGAGCCAAACCGACCAGGGCTGACCTGTATTTTCCATTTGCACTCAGCCAACCAAAACCATACGCTGCTTCCTGGCAAACGACAAGAAATCTCTAGAAGCTTACATTAAAAATAGAAAGTAATACAAATACGATGAAAACAGCCCAGGATAAGGTCCTGCTTTCACACCAAAGAACCTTAAAATGGGGTGTGATTTGACTTAACACTGCTTATTTGTTTATTTCTAAAAGTGATTTTAGTCACTGAGGCAGAAATGTAGATGTCTGGCAAAATCCCCAACAAGAAAAAAAAAAGTAAATAATCGAAAATAACCTCAGTTAAAATGAGCTACGCAAATCATTGCTCCGAAGAGTTACACTAGGTAACCCTGTTTTGACAAGTCATCCTGCAAGAAAATTCAAAGAAACTGATTAAAGGATCATTGGAAAATTAATAAAGAAAAACAAAACCAAATAAACAAATGAATAATCATTTGAAAGGAACACAGGAGTAAGGTCCGGGCCTTGGAAGCGATGTTTTACGTGATCATCTGCCCGCATACCCATCGGGACTGGACTCAGCTGAGATGAGCCTCGGCCTAAATTTCATTTTCTTAATATTTAAAAAAAAAAAGGAGTCATGATTTGTATTCCTACTTTTTTTGTGTGTGTGCCCTTGACTGGAATCGAACCCGGGACCCTCCAGTCTGCAGGCCGATGCTCTATCCACTGAACCAAACCAGCTAGGACTATTTCTACTTTTTAAAAGTCTGATTCCCCCGCCCCCCCACAAGTTTAACTTCTGCAGCGACTGACATTTGAACAGAAACGTATTTCAGGTCGTGCAGTGCTTACAAAACAGGAAGCATGTGTAAACACCTGTGACTGATGTTCTAGAACAGCAGTTGCCAACCTTTTGGACCTCGAGGATCACTGTTCTAGAAAGCTTAAATGCTTGACAGATAAAGTCTCTAGCAAAACAGCTTACCTGGCTCCATTCCCATCTATTTCATCTTAAAGCTATGAGCCATTTCATCCTAAAAACATACAAATCAAGCCCTGGCCAGTGTGGCTCAGCTGGTTGAGCATCATTCCAGGAACCGAGAGGTAGCTGGTTCGATTCCGGGTCAGGGCACATGCCTGGGATGCGGGCTCCATCCCCAATAGGGGGCATGCAGGAGGCAGCCGATCCATGATTCTTATCATTGATGTTTCTCTCTCTCTCCCTCTTCCTTCCTCTCTGAAATCAATTTAAAAAATACATGTATTTTTTAAAAAAGAGTGGATTACAGCTGAGAAGAGAGCTGTGGGGCGCAGACCCGCTGAGGAGTGAGGGGAGCCCAGACCCAGACCACCGGAGGCGCCTGAAGCCCCCGGCCCCTCTGGCTGCCGCCACCATGACACACAGACCAGCCCCAGGCCAGGCTAACATGAAACCTGACATTAACGACCTCGTTACCTCAGTGCCTATTACCTAATACCTCATGTCTGGCTTCAATAAAAAATTACAAGACGTGCTAAAAGGCAAGAAAAAACACAGTCGGATGAGACGAAGCGAGCATCAGACCAGACTTCGATATGACACAGATGTTGGAAGGATCAGACAGGCAATTTAAAAGGACTATGATTAGCATGTTAAAACCAAGGGAAACATTAGATGGGTAAATGTGACATCTTGGCCCGGCCGGCGTGGCTCAGTGGTTGAGCGTCAATCTAGGAACCAGGAGGTCGCGGTTCCATTCCCGGTCAAGGGCACATGCCTGGGATGGGGGCTCCATCCCTAGTAGGGGGCGTGCAGGAGGTAGCCGATCTATGGTTCTCTCGTCACTGATGTTCCCCTCTCTCTCCCTCTCCCTTCCTCTCTGAGATGAATAAAAATATATTTAAGAAAAGAAAAGAAAAAAGGCAGATGGGCCTTCATGTCTGAAAAGCCAGCCACACGCCTGCTCGGCTGTCATCATTCTGAGATCCAATCAGCCAGCCCACACGCACCCTGGACCAGCTCGGGGCATGCTCCATTCCCGAGCAAGGGAGAACTCCAAGGCCAAGAAACATCCCTGTTGATTTTTCTATCTGCCCTGAATTTTAAAGGTCCATGCGAACCTTATTTATTTAATCCTCATTGGAGGATGTTTTCCCATTGATTTTTAGAGAGTGAAAGGGGGCGGGGGGAGAGAGAAACATTGATGTGAGAGAGACACACCGCCAATTGGTCGCCTCCTGCATGCGACCCGACCAGGGCCAGGGGTCAAGCCTGCAACCGAGGTACGTGCCCTTGACCGGAATCGAACCCGGGACCCTTCAGTCCGTAGGGGGATGCTCTACCCACTGAGCCAAACCGGCCGGGGCTTATGTGAACGTCTTTTTAACTCCACGTTCTTGCCCTCCAGCATCATTCTGAGGGCTGGGACCCGGGCAGCTCCGGCCACGCCCCTGGCTGGGTCTCCGTGTGCAGACCACACACGTCTACAGGGCCGACGAGAGGCGGCTGGGGGAGATGAGTCTGGGAGGGATTCCTGGTAGCCAGCCCTTGTCGTTCACCCGCCCACATCTAATGCAATGCTTTATTGAAAACACACACACACACACACACACACACACACACACACAGCACTGCAAACGCACCAGACACTGTTTTCAGTGCATTAAAAACATTAACTCATTTAACCCTCCCAGCGAGCCTATAGAAGGACATCAATACCCTCATTTTCAGATGCGGACACAGGCACAGAGCAGCCCGGTCACCTGCCCGAGGTCACGGCCAACACGTGGGAGAGTCGGCGGCGGAAGCTCATGGGGGCCCAGCTCCAGTCTGTGCTGTGGACCGCGGGGCCAAGTACTTAAAGAAAGGGGCTGAGCCGTGCCTGTAGGGCGCACGCCTTCCTGCCGGCGGCCCAGCTCGTGCCACCCAAGCGCCGCCAGTGCAGGAGCTAAAGCGATGACAGACACCCCGAAATTCTGATGAAACAGACACGCTCACTGCTATGCAAGCTGGGCCAGCCACTTCCAGGCTTCTTTTAGTTGAAAAGCGAAAAAAAGCACCCACAGAAAGACAGGTCAGGTACAATGGAAGCAGGCAGCGAATTTCCCGCCTCTGGCAAATTTCTTCTCACCAGTTTCCTACCAGCCTTCACCGCTTTAGCGGGCGGCCTAAGCCAGTGACACTGCGGCCCCATGTCACGTGGGCCCACTCTGCGATGGAGCCAACGTGAGCAGCGACTTGGCAATAAAAACAAAAAGTACAAGTGCGGCCCGGCTGGCGTGGCTGAGCGTCGACCTATGAACCAGGAAGTTATGGTTCGATTCCCAGTCGGGGCACATGCCGGGGTTGTGGGCTCGATCCCCAGTAGGGGGCGTGCAGGAGGCGGTCGATCAGCGATTCTCTCTCATCAATGATGTTTCTTTTTTTCTCCCCTTTTTCTATGTATATATATATATTTTTATTGATTTCAGAGAGGAAGGGAGAGGGAGGGATAGAAACATCCATGATGAGAGAGAATCATGGATCCGCTGCCTCCTGCACGCCTCCTACTGGGGATCAAGCCCACAACCCGGCATGTGCCCTG